CAACTGATACTATTGATTCTACACGGCTTCGTAGGGTTCATATGGCTTTGGGTTTTGGCCTTGAAGGTAGCAGGGTTTAGAGGTTTATGGGCTTAGGGTTTAGTGTCTAAGCTTTACGGGTTGGCTTTGGCTTTCAAACATACGTTCTGTGCGGCTTTGATTCTGCGTTGTCAGTAAAGCTGACAAAGCTTAGTTGATTCCTCAATCAAGACATGACAGGGCCGCAACATGTCCCGTGTGCTTCTCCTGAAATACACTTGAATCTCGGGTTGTACCCCGTAAACACATGTTACACAGCTCAACGTCTGCACAAAAACACGCCTTCGTAAACCTTACTCGTAACTGCCCCCAAAACCTTCTAGTGCCCGAAGATGCCCGAAGTGTCATACCCTACCTCAACGTATTTCTTGGTGCTTCGATTAGAAACAGCATCTGCCTAACAAAGGGGTGGGGGCACAAGGCTCGAGGACTCTTCGTTGCTTCAGGCTTCGTATTCCATAACGGGGTCAAAGCTCCACCCGAAACCCTAAGCACCAAACCCTAAACCCCTAAACCCTAAGCAGTAAACCCTAAACCCCTAAAGCCTAAGCACTAAACCTTAAACCCCTAAAGCACTAAACCTTAAACCCTCAACCATAAACCCTAAACAACGAGGAGGACTGTGAGTCTCGGGGTTGCGATTCAGGTTGTGGAGTTGAGGATTCAGGCGTTCTTCGAGCGCGGAATTTTGGGTGTGCTCTTGAAAGTATTCAGGGTGTAGGGTTGCTGCGTCTTAGGGTTGATGGGGTGCAGGAAACTGTCTTTAACTTTCCGAGATGGGACTCTAAGGGGACGGGTGGGTTTGCTGCTATTTCTGTTTCTTTAGGTTTTAGTTTAGTGTTGAGGGATGTACGTTGAGAAGTCCCTCGATCAGCAGTGCTCAGCTAAGCTACTGGCGCGCCGGAAGGGGCGAAAATGCAATTCTCTCCAAAGCTAAAGAGACAACTCGATAAACTTGTGTTTCGTACCTTAAGATCAAGCTCTCAACCCATATATTTGAAGCTATCCGCTTGTCTCTGAACGTTAACCTTAAGCCCCAAGCTATGTATGTTACAAATTAAACGTAAATCTCTGTCAACTAAACCGCCGAACCCCAAACAAACGATAATAGTGCACGTCGAGCCATAATAAAACCATAGTTTTCTGAATCCCCTGCAGTCGGAATATACGTGCAAAAAATTAAAACAACAGAAAAATCTACCCGAAACCCTAAACCCTAAAAACCGTAAACCCCTAAACCCCTAACCCGAAAACCCCAAACCCTAAAGCCCTGTACCCTGAAGAAAGATCCACTCTTGGAGCCCTAAGAGATTGGACCTGTAGCATGCCGTACGGACACCCCTAAGTAATGTAGGGGCCTTAATAAGTTCAATAGGTTTTGGGGTATTTCGACTATAGTTGTAATAAGGAACCCCTTTTGAAATAGTATAGGAGTTCGTTAAGGCCCGGACCTGTAGTAAACAGGTTTGGGCTTAGTGTTTAGGGTTTAGGATACTTGGATGTCCATGCAAACTCACCAAAGCCCGAAACCATGATACGACCAGTAACTGTAGCTCAGAGAATTCGAAGACTCTAAAACCTAAATTCTAAGTCGCAAAACCGCAACTCTCAACTGTCCTAAACCCTAAACCCTAGTAGAACCCTAAACCCTAAACCCTAAACCCTAAACTCTAAAACCCTAAACCCAAAACCCTGAAACCCCAAATGCTACACCCTAAACTCTAGAACCCAAAACCGTGGCTGCTATCGGTCAACCAACTGGTCTCTCGTTTTTGGTGCTGCAACTTCCGCTCCAGGCTCATGCTTCCAAGTTCGGAGGCAGAGAAAACTGGAATCCCGACGACTTACCCACAAGTGTTTAGTTTAGGGTTTAGAGTTTAGGGTTCAGGGTTCAGGGTTTAGGGTTTAGGGGTTTAGGGTTTAGGGTGTAGGGTTTTAGGGTCTAGTTGTGTTGAACACCTCTTTCACCCTAAACCCTAAGCCCTGAACCCTGAACCTTAAACCCTAAACCCTAAACCTAAGCTCAGCAGGATCCTCTTGTGTGGACTAGGGACTATAGGGTTTAGGGCTTGGGACCTACGCATAGGCCCTAAAGTAGCTCCTTTTTGGGGTTCATATATAGAACCCTATAAGGAAACCCTAAACCCTAAACCCTAAACCCTAAGCCCCCAAAAAAGGAGCTACTGTGGGGCCTATGGGTAGCTTGATGGCCTATGGAGGCCTGCAGTGCGTAGCGTTGTGTGACAGGGGCCATGGGGTGTAGGGGTTTTGTGAAAGGCTAGCAGTTTGGGTTTAGGGTTTAGGGTTTAGGGTTTAGGGTTTAGGGTGTAGGGTTTTGTGAAAAGCTAACACTGTGCCTTTCCGTATGGCAGCAACTATATCTTAGTCCGCAAGCCATCCTGGACCTTTAGGACTTTGGGGTTCAAGGCTTAGGGGTTTAGGGTTTAGAGTTCAGGAGGGTTTAGGGTTTAGGGTTCAAACCCCTAGACCCTAAACCCTCAGGAGTGTGGGGTTCAAGGCTTTGGGGTTTAGGGTTTAGAGTTCAGGAGGGTTTAGGGTTTAGGGTTCAAGGCCAAAGACCTTAAACCCGGCACTTTCTAGGGCCTGCTGGTGCCTCAACAACTGCAGATCCTGCTCTAGGCTCCCAAGTTCTCTCAATCTTTCAGGGTCTAGGGATTAGAGTTGAGGGTTAAGGGTCTTGGGTTTAGGTTTAGGGTTTAGGGCCATTAAGGGTCCATGTGCTCAAATAGTGCACACTTTGGCCCCAAAGTACTTATACACGGAGTACTTTAAGGCCAAAGTATATACTGTTTGGGTACATGGACCCTTAGGGAATAGTATGTGTACCCTTCTTCTTCTGATTCAAACATGCTTCTGGTAGCCTTTTAGGAATTCTCAAAAAGGAGTGTTCTTTCTTATGTTCAAGCAACAGAAAACCCGTGTGCAATCCCATCGATGAAACCTGCTAAGGAATCCAGAGGAAAACCCTGTAAGGTTTAGGGTTTAGGGTTTAGGGTTCAGGGTAATACTACGAGGTTGTTTACCCCCCAAGCCTGAAATCCAATTCCCTAAGCCCAAAACCCCAAACCCTAATTCCAAAACCCGACATCCTGAACCCTTAACCTCAAATCCTCAACCCTCAATCCTAAACCCTACATCCTGAACCCTAAAACCTCAAATCCTCAACCCTAAATCCTAAACCCTACATCCTAAATCCTAAACCCTACATCCTGAATCCTAAACCCTACATCCTAAGTCCTAAACCCTACATCCTGAATCCTTAACCCTACATCCTAAGTCCTAAAGCCTACTGGTTCTGATGTCCAGGGATTCCAGGCGACGTGGATCTTCCTGCGGCGGATGCCCGGGAAGGCAAGGGAGCGGACCACGACCTGCGCCATGGAGTTCCTTTGTGGGGGTTTTGGGTTTTGGGTTTAGTGTTTAGGGTTTAGGGTTTAGGGGTTTAAGGTTCAGGGTTTAGGGTTTAGGGTTTAGTGTTTAGTGTTTAGGGTTTAGGGTTTAGGGCCCCTAAATCCAAAACCCTAAATATCCGGAAACC